CGCCCGGGGAGGGAGGGGGGGAACCGTTATTCCTGGGGTACACAGGGGAGGGTTAAGGTAGTAGGGTCATGAGAAAAGAAGAGAGCTGTAGAGGGTAATGTACAGAGGGTGTTTAGGGTTTTTTTAAAGTAGGGGTCAGTAGGTGAAAAGAGGAGAGAGGAGCTTGTGTAGAGGGTTAATGTAGGTCGGAAGAGGAGAGGAGAGCTGTAGAGGGGTTAATAGTACAAGAGGGTAAAGAGGTCAGTTGAAGAGTTAAAGAGAACGAGAGAGCTTTGTGTAGAGGGTTAAGAGGTCAAGTGAAGTGAGAGAGAGAGCTTTTTGTGAGGGTAATTGTGAGGTCAGTGAAGAGAGAGAGGAGAGCTTGTTTATAGAGGGTCCATGTTACAGAGGTGTAGGAGGTCAGTGAAGAGAGGAGAGAGCTTTTTTGTAGAGGGTAATGTACAGAGGGTTTTTAAGGTAGGTCGGAAGGGAAGAGAGAGAGGAGAGCTTGTTTTTGTGTAGAGGAGGTTAAATGTACTACAGAGGGTTGTAAGGTAGGTCAGTGGAAGATGATGAGAGAGAGATGTTTATTATAGAGGGGTAAATGTCCAGCGGGTTAAGGTAGGTCAGTGAGAGAGAGAGCTGTAGGAGGGTTTAATGTACAGAGGGTAAGGTAGGTCAGTGAAGAGGAGAGAGCGAGAGCTGTATAGAGGGTAAATGTACAGAGGGTTTTAAGGTAGGTTCAGTTGAAGAGGAGAGAGAAGCTTGTAGAGGGGTAAGGTCCAGAGGGTTTTGTTTTAAGGGTTAGGTCAGTGTGAAAGCGGAGGAGGGAGAGCTGGTCGAGGGTTAATGTACAGAGGGTTAAGGTAGGTCAGTGAAGAGAGTGTTGAATGAAGAGCGAGGAGGAGAGAGAGCTGTTGTAGGGGTAAAGGTACAGAGGGTAAGGTAGTCAGTTTGATGAAGAGAGAGAAGAGCTGTAGAGGGTAATTGTACAGAGGGTAAGGGAAGGTCAGTAGTGAGAGGGGAGAGGAGCTTTGGTCTGATAGAGGCCCTACCCCTAGAGGGTAATCCACCCAGAGCGGTAACGTACAGCCCGTCAGTGAAGAGGAGCGAGAGCTGTAGAGGGTTAATGTACAGAGGGTGGTAAGGTTAGGTCAGTTTGTAAGAGAAGAGAGAGAGCTTTGTAGAGGGAATGTACAGAGGGTTGTAATGTAGGGTCCAGTGAAAGAGAGAGGAGGAGTGCTGTGTATAGAGGTAATGTACGGAGGGGAAGGGTAGGTCAGTGCAGAGATGAGAGAGAGGAGGAGAGCTGTAGGGGTAATTGTACAGAGGGTAAGTAGGTCAGTGAAAGGAGGAGAAGAGGAGAGCTGTATTTAGCGGGTAAATTGTACAGAGGAGTAAGGTAGGTCAGGTGAAGACGAGAGAGAGCTGTGTAGAGGGTGTAATGACAGAGGGTAGGTAGGTCAGTGAGAGAGGGAGAGGAGAGCTTGTAGAGTGGTAATGTACAGAGGGTAAGTAAGTGAAAGGTAGTTGGTCAGTTGAAGAGACGAGGAGAGAGAGCTTTTGTTTGTTGTATTGTGAGAGGGTAATGTACAGATGGTAAGGTAGGTCAGTGAAGGAGAGCAAGTGAGAGAGAGAGAGAGGAGAGTGTAGGAGGGTTAATGTACAGAGGGTTTAAGGTAGGTCAGTGGATGTGTGAAGAGAGAAGGAGAGGGGGGGACGAGAGAGAGAGCTGTAGAGGGGGTAATGTACAGAGGGTTTTTTTTAAGGTAGGTCAGTTGAAGAGAGGAGAGCGTAGAGGGTTAATGTACAGAGGGTAAGGTAGTCAGTTGAGAGGAGGAGAGAGGAGAGAGGAGAGCTTGTTAGCGGGTAATGTACAGAGGGTAAGGTAGGGTCCAGTGAACGGAGAGGGGAGGGAGCGGAGCTGTAGAGGGTAATGTTACAGAGTTTAGGTAGGTCAGTTTGAAGAGAGGGAGAGAGAGAGAGTGTATGTAGGAGGGGATGTCCAGAGGGTAAGGTAGGTCAGTGTGAAGAGAGAGCAGAGAGGCGAGAGCTTGTAGCGGGTAAGTATGAAAACGTTTCTCTTGGGGGGAAAACATGTTAAATGTTACTTGTGGTTATAGAAGAAGTTATTTGGTATGGCAACAGGTGGCGACTTCAATAACTTGAATTAAAAGTGGCTGCAGGCAGCAGGGGAAAGGAAGACGTGGGTGGTTATAAAATGTTATGTCGTGGACATTAACATTTTCAGTCATTTAGCAGACGGCTCTTATCCAGAGAGTGAGTGCATACATAATTTTTTTTTTTTTCATACTGGTTTCCCCCGGGGTATCGAACCCACAAACCCCATGCTCTAACAGTAATATTTATTTTCAAGGACCATCAATTTGTAATAGTTCCTAATATGCAATTGTTTCTAGTTACCACCAGATTATAGTATATCGCCACCAGATGGCAGTATATCGCCACCAGATTATAGTATATCGCCACCAGATGGCAGTATATCGCCACCAGATGGCAGTATATCGCCACCAGATGGCAGTATATCGCCACCAGATGGCAGTATATCGCCACCAGATGGCAGTATATCGCCACCAGATGGCAGTATATCGCCACCAGATTATAGTATATCGCCACCAGATGGCAGTATATCGCCACCAGATTATAGTATATCGCCACCAGATTATAGTATATCGCCACCAGATGGCAGTATATTGCCACCAGATTATAGTATATCGCCACCAGATGGCAGTATATCGCCACAAACTCATGAAAAAACCAAACTAACTTACAAGTTCTCCTCAATAATACATATTTCACTACTTATTGACTACATACAGGAGTGGTAAATCAGGATTGATGATGTAATTTGAGTAGTGATGAGCAGAGTTTTGGACACGCCTACTGGCGAACACACATTTCCAATTCACATTACTACACAATTCCATCTTAAATGACTTTTTATTGGGCATTTGGGAATCTACTATTTAATAGCAACGAAACAGCGTCTTGCTTCTGACTGGCAGCGTTAGTGTCGCCGGTCGGTGTGGGCTGTGTGAGGAAAACAGGCACGTGAACGGCCACCAGAACGGCAGGAGCACGGCTGCCGCTTGTTAAAGCGGAATATTGCGGGCGCCCCCGAGAATGGAAGGCGATTGGCAAAAAAAAAGCTCTGGAGGTTGTTGCAGAGAAAAAGATGTAGAAGTGGCGCCAGCGCAGTTCGCAGCGTTGTCTTTCCCCGTTCATGTGGCTCTTCAGGGCCGATTCACCCACAATGTCAAAGTCGGACGCATTTTTTGCACCTTACATGGTGTCGGTTGGTTGGGTCCAGTGGTAAAAAAAATGGTGGTTAAACTATACTGAACAACAATATAAAAACGCAACATGTAAAGTGTTGGTCCCAGGTTTCATGAGCTGAAATAAAAGATCCCAGAAATGTTCCATACGCATAAAAAGGCAGGATGGAATTGACATTTTCCCGGCATATCGACGGGACGCTTGGCGGCGCCTAATCAGACGGTGCTGTACCTGCCTGGCTGAGTGGCATTGTGGGTGGAATGAGCGAGCTCACCTGGCAACCACAGCGTGAAACACGTTAGGAAATAAAACTCAGTAGCCTGCCTGGAAATGAATTAATGTAACTTACAGGAGGACCTACCTCCAGCAGGTCTGTACAGGGTCATGTGTAGAGGGTCATGTGTATGAGAGGAGAGTTAACTCACAGGAGGACCTACCTCCAGCAAGTCTGTACAGGGTCATGTATATGAGAGGAGAGTTAACTTACAGGAGGACCTACCTCCAGCAGGTCTGTACAGGGTCATGTGTAGAGGGTCATGTATATGAGAGGAGAGTTAACTCACAGGAGGACCTACCTCCAGCAGGTCTGTACAGGGTCATGTGTAGAGGGTCATGTATATGAGAGGAGAGTTAACTCACAGGAGGACCTACCTCCAGCAGGTCTGTACAGGGTCATGTATATGAGAGGAGAGTTAACTCACAGGAGGACCTACCTCCAGCAGGTCTGTACAGGGTCATGTGTAGAGGGTCATGTATACGAGAGGAGAGGTAATTTACAGGAGGACCTACCTCCAGCAAGTCTGTACAGGGTCATGTGTAGAGGGTCATGTATATGAGAGGAGAGGTAATTTACAGGAGGACCTACCTCCAGCAGGTCTGTACAGGGTCATGTGTAGAGGGTCATGTATATGAGAGGAGAGGTAACTCACAGGAGGACCTACCTCCAGCAGGTCTGTACAGGGTCATGTGTAGAGGGTCATGTATACGAGGGGAGAGTTAACTCACAGGAGGCGCTAGCTCCAGCAGGTCCTGTATCCTGGTCAGGATGTCTTCAACGAAGGAGTTCATGTGTTTACTGTCAACAAAGAGCAGGGTTGGGGTCAAACACAAAGAAACCTTCTTGAACTATTACTGTCAACAGAGAACAGGGTTGGGGTCAATGATGACCTGGTGTTGACCTCCATGACATGGTACAACCAGGGTCTGTTGATAATACTGGGTCTGTCCCAACTGGCAGCCTATCCACTACAACAAGGACCCATAGAGCTCTGGTCTAAAGTAGTGCACTATATAGGGAATAGGGTGCCATTCTCTGGTCTAAAGTAGTGCACTATATAGGGAATAGGGTGCCATTCTCTGGTCTAAAGTAGTGCACTATATAGGGAATAGGGTGCCATTCTCTGGTCTAAAGTAGTGCACTATATAGGGAATAGGGTGCCATTCTCTGGTCTAAAGTAGTGCACTATATAGGGAATAGGGTGTCGTTCTCTGGTCTAAAGTAGTGCACTATATAGGGAATAGGGTACCATTCTCTGGTCTAAAGTAGTGCACTACATAGGGAATAGGGTGCCATTCTCTGGTCTAAAGTAGTGCACTATATAGGGAATAGGGTGCCATTCTCTGGTCTAAAGTAGTGCAGTATACAGGGAATAGGGGGCCAGTTGGGACTCCATCTAACGTGTGCTTAGTGACTGGTAGAGCTGGACTTACTGCAGTGTCTTGACGAATCGTGAGAAGAGGTAGGCCACTCTGCTGCGGACCTTTGGACTGCTGTGTCTCAGACCTCGATGGTCCAGAAAGGCCATCTACAGAACACAGACACACTGTGGTGGTACCAAACCTCCTTCCCAAGTATCCAAGGGTACACTCTCTCCCTCTACTCTCCTCAACACTGGGAGGACACTGCGTTAAGGTCGAAACAGAGAGAGTTCATTGATGATTCGGTGACTGCACTACTCACCAGGACGTTAGGAATGTGCTGCGGTTCCACGAGGAAGAACTTGTCGTAGCGAACGACCGTCTCAAAGAACTCCAGCGCCACAGAGGTGTGTTGGTACCCACTGAGCCCAGAGGAGACCAGCTGAGGGGACAGGAGAACACATACATGGTGTCAGACATTAAAAAACACTTTCCTGTGGGTTTAGGGGGTCGTTAGTGGACTGGACCCTTGGGTTGTCTCTCACCGTTCTCATCATATCCTGCAGGGCCGAGGTCTTGGCCGTGTCGCCAGAGAAGTGAGCGCCGTGAGACGCAGGCAGAGCCTCTCCCAGCATGTAGAGCAGCCGGATGGCCACCTCCACCTCCATGAAGGGGGCCGTCTGCCACGTCCTGAGAGAGAGAGAGACGCACGCGCCATTAGGGTCCAGCCAAGTTTCTTTTCGAGCCATTCTTTCGAGGGTAAAGTTAGTCTTACTGCATGGTGCTGTTGAAGACCCTGCGCACAGCTTCCAGTAGCAGTTCGGGGGAAACCTGAGCCAGACGATCCAACAACATCTTCAACTGTTTCCTGTACTCTACAAACATCGCTTCATCCTCCCCCTGAGAGAGAGAGAGAACACAGAAAGGAGAGAAAGGAAGAGGGGGGAGAGAGAAAGTGGGGGGAGAGAGAAAGAGGGGGGAGAGAGAGATGGATAGAGAGAGAAGGGGGGGAGAGCGAGATGGATAGAGAGAGAGATGGACAGAGAGAGAGATGGACAGAGAGAGAGATGGACAGAGAGAGAGATGGACAGAGAGCGAGAGAGAATGGATAGAGGGAAAGAGAGAGAAGGGGGGAGAGCGAGAGATGGATAGAGAGAAAGAGGGGGGAGAGATGAGAGAGAGAAGGGGGAGAAGGGAGAGAGAGATGGACAGACAGCGAGAGAGAGAGAGAGAGAGAAACTGAGAATGAGAATGCTCTTCAACTTCCCCACAATTTAAAACTCAGACAAAGTTTTACCTCATTCTCAAAGTTGTACTCCTCATCATAAGTCAGTTTCTTCATGACTGCCAACATTATGGCCTGTTGAAACAGAGAGGGCAGTCAACATATTGGATACGTCTAGTAACAAGATGAAAGATGGTGGAACGTTAGGAAAGGGTTTAAAAGCTAGTGGTTGGTTTCCCAGAAGCAGATTCATTCTATTCCTGGAATAAAAAAATATGTTCCGTTTTTTAGTTCAGGACAAGGCATAATCTCTGTCTGGGAAACCAGCCCAAAGAGTTTTTGATGAAATCGCACCTCAACGTTAGTTTTCTGTTGGTCTGTCAGCAGAGGGAACTAGAAGGGAGAGAGACAACAGAATGTTCTCATTATGAAACAACCATAATTCCTTCAATTCAAAGCAGTAAGTTGTTCCAGAAAGCAGGATAGGTTGGCCAGCTAACTTTGATAAACCGTCACACTCATACATATACAGATCTCTCGCTCTTAATTTTCTGAATCATTTAGAAAGCTAAACTTCAATGTGTTGTTGGTTGTAAAGTTAATTATACCATGCTAATTTCAAGTCTATATTTCTTGAAAATATGAAGTTATTTTACAATATTTCGGACAGTTAGCAGAGCTAATTCATTGATGGTTCTTCCTGGAACATCCCCCCCCCAAGCTGTAAACCAATAGTCAGGGGTAATGATAATGATTGGGTCTTGGGTTAGTTAGCGTGGACAGTTCTCTCCACCTTGTCGGATTCCCAGTACTCTTCAACGGCCTCCTGTCCTCCTCTCCCTACCTGACGCATGGTACCCTGCCACTCTGACCCCTTTAGGAAGATGAAGCAGATGAACACAAAGTTTACGTCATGTTACCCTGCCACGCTGACCCCATTGAGGATTGCTTGTCAACACGACAGCGGTCAGAGGGGCGACTCCCAAGTCCACGCCCGTTCTAGAGATTATATTTCTTAAAAATGGTTTCCATCCTGTCCGGTAAAGATACCTCAACAGTCTAGAGCGGCTCCCTCTCCTTCCACTCTGATGCCGGCAAAAACACTGTGTCCCAAACGACACTATTCCCTTCATAGTGCACAACTTCTGCCCAGAACCCTGGATGGTATAAGGTGCCATAGGGATTAGGGTGCCATATTCCCATAGGGCTCTAGTCAAAATGTAGTGCACTAGAGAGAGAGAATAGGGTGCCATTTGGGACTTGCCCAAAGTAAACACTGGAGCTATGGACATGCAAATAGCACCCGCTCTCACCTGTTTGAGTATGTGCAGGTAGTCGTAGCAGAACCCGACGACGTTAGCCGAGATGTCGTCGTCCTCGTGGACCAACAGCTGGAGGAGCAGCGGAACCTTGGCCTCGAGCGCGCGCAGCGTCTCCGTGGCGTCTTTCACGTCGCCCCCCTTGGCCAGTTTGGTCCAGCTCAGCGCCAGAGATTGGCCCATCCCATTAACCAGTCTGGAGAACTTAGCCAGGAAGTCCACGTCCTCCTCCTGGTGATGGAGCCAAGACAGGACACAGTGTCACTATATAGGAAACACTGGGGCACCATTTCGGGTACAAAACAGGAAACAGTTTTCACATCCATTCAGGAAGTGGAGGTCAGGAGGAGGAAGAGGAAATGGCCCTTTGGCCTTTTGTTGGACTGGAGCAGTGTGTGTGTGTGTTGTGTGGTGCGTCCGTCGTGTGTGTGTGTGTGTGTGTGTGTGTGTGTTGTGTGGTGCGTCCGTCGTGTGTGTGTGAGTGTGTGTACAGTGCCTTCAGAAAATATTCACACCCCTTGATTTTTTCCACATTTTGTTGTGTTGCAAATTGGGATTAAAATGGATTTAATTGTATTTTCAACAATCTACTCTAATGTCAAAGTGGAAGATTTTTTATTTTATTTTTTATATTAATGAAAAATATAACACTAAAATGTATCTTGACTACTCAACCCCCTGAGTCAATACATGATAGAATCACCTTTGGCAGCGATTACAGATGTGAGTCTTTCTGGGTAAGTCTCTAAGAGCTTTGCACATCTGGATTGTACAATATCTGTCCATTATTCTTTTTTAAATTCTTCAAGCTCTGTCAAGTTGGTTGTTGATCATTGCTAGTCAGCCATTTTCAAGTCTTACCATAGATTTTCAAGCAGATTTAAATCAAAACTGTAACTAGGCCACTCAGGAATTTTCACTGTCTTCTTGGTAAGCAACTCCAGTGTAGATTTGGCCTTGTGTTTTAGGTTATTGTCCTGCTGAAAGGTGAATTCGTCTCCCAGTGTCTGGTGGAAAGCAGACCAGGTTTTCCTCTAGGATTTTTCCTCTGCTTAGCGCCATTGTTTTGGTTTTTTTAAATCCTGAAAATCTCCCCAGTCCTTGACGATGACAAGCATACACATAACATGATGCAGCCACCACCATGCGTGAGAATATGAAGAGTGGTACTCAGTGATGTGTTGGATTTGCCCCAAACATAACACTTTGTATTCAGGATGCATGTTTTGGAATATTTGTATTCTTTACAGACTTCCTTCTTTTCACTCTGTCATTTAGGTTAGTATTGTGGAGTAACTACAATGTTGTTGATAAATAATAAATAAAAATAATTGGTCATTTAGCAGACGCTCTTATCCAGAGCGACTTACAGGAGCAATTAGGGTTAAGTGCCTTGCTCAAGGGCACATCGACAGATTTTTCACCTAGTCGGCTCGGGGATTAGAACCAGCGACCTTTCGGTTACTGGCACAACGCTCTTAACCACTAAGCTACCTGCCGCCCTTGATCCATCCTCCATTTTCTCCTATCACAGCCAACTGTGATAGTAACTGGTTTAAAGTCACCATTGGCCTCATGATGAAATCCCTGAGCGGTTTCCTTCCTCTCCGGCAACTGAGTTAGGAAGGACGCCTGTATCTTTGCAGTGACTGGGTGTATTGATACTCCATCCAAAGTGTAATTAATAACTTCACCATGCTCAAAGGGATATTCAATGTCTGCCTTCTTTTTTTTTTACCCATCTACCAATAGGTGCCCTTCTTTGCGAGGCATTGGAAAACCTCCCTGGTCTTTGTGGTTGAATCTGTGTTTGAAATTCACTGCTCGACTGAGGGTCATTACAGATAACTGTATGTGTGGGTACAGAGATGAGGTAGTCATTAAACAATCATGTTAAACACTATTATTGCACATAGAGTGAGTCCATGCAACTTATTATGTGACTTGTTAAACACATTTTTACTCCTGAACTTATTTAGGATTGCCATAAAAGGGGTTGAATACTTATTGACTCAAGACATTTTCATTTTGAATCAATTTGTATAATTTTGTTTTTTTTAAAAATCATCCAATTTGACATTTTGGGGTGGATTTTGTGTGTGGATCAGTGCCACAAAATCTCAATTTAAAACATTTGAAATTCAAGCTGTAACACCAAATATGAAAAAAGGGTGAAGGGGTGTGAATCCTTTCTGAAGGCACTATATAAAATGTGTGTACACCTACCTCCTCCACATTGAAGAAGCCGGCAGACTGCAGGACCTGGCAGAGGGATTCAACCAGCTTGGTCTTGTCTGTGGGGTCCATGCCTTTGTTAACAATCTCAAACAGACAGTCACATGCCTCCTCTCTCAGGTCCTGCACAGACATCTGGCTCAGCAGCAGGTTGACGAACCTGGAGGGAGAAGGAACACGCTGGTCACACACACACACCGGTCCAGGACCAGTCATCTGGTGGTCCTCTGTAGCTCAGCTGGTAGAGCACGGCGCTTGTAACGCCAGGGTAGTGGGTTCGATCCCCGGGACCAGCCCTACGTAAAAATGTATGCGCACATGACTAAGTCGCTTTGGATAAAAGCGTCTACTAAATGGAATATTATTATTATTATTATTATTATTATTATTATTATCTGATCTAGTCTCCGGTTCATGAACCTGAAACCGTCAAAACAACTACCACTGATCTTGACGGCGCCGACGGAGAAGGACGACACCTTAGAGGAGTTTCAACCCAACTTCGCTATTTCATGACTTTTATCGTGTTTAACTTTCTTTGTACAAAATGTTCATTCTATTCTCATATGACCCTTGGGTGAACTGTTGGAATCATGGAAATATAATGATTATTCTGACTCTATAATTAGAATATAATAGTGGCCATTTTGAATACAGTGTTGACATGACAACAAATGAAAACGCCAGGGAGGAGTTATTGTGACAGGGTAGGAACCAGAGTGTTGGTAAGTGTTTCCTAGGGGACCCAATCAACTTTGGCTACACTGAACGTTCTCTCTTAGACACTTCATGTTGGTAACATATTCATGCTTTGCGTATTCCTCTTTGATTTAGAAGATACTGTTGCACAAACAACACGCTGATTTAGGTCAACACCATAACTGGTACCAGGCTGTATAGCTAGCTACGTTTGGTCTGACTCAGTACATTTATTAGCTAGCTACGTTTGGTCTGACTCAGTACATTTATTAGCTAGCTACGTTTGGTCTGACTCAGTACATTTATTAGCTAGCTACGTTTGGTCTGACTCAGTACATTTATTAGCTAGCTACGTTTGGTCTGACTCTGTACATTTATTAGCTAGCTACGTTTGGTCTGACTCTGTACATTTATTAGCTAGTTACGTTTGGTCTGACTCAGTACATTTATTAGCTAGCTACGTTTGGTCTGACTCAGTACATTTATTAGCTAGCTACGTTTGGTCTGACTCAGTACATTTATTAGCTAGCTACGTTTGGTCTGACTCAGTACATTTATTAGCTAGCTAGCGATTAGCAGCTAACAAGATTTAGGTCCAACTTGCTATGAAAAGACAAACTAGGTGTTCGCAGCTGTAAGAAACACAAACTAATAGTGTAATTATAGAAGTGGATTTATATTAAAGAAGCAAAGTGGAAACAGCATCATTGTCATCAACATTGTTGCATGTGCTGCATTGACCATGCAGAGACTAAACGCAAGTGTGTTGTGATCGAGGAACAACAAATGCTCTCCTTGAGTGACAGGGGGCGGGGCTATGTCTGTGTAGGAAGCGGCATGGAGAAATAGAGAGATGACTAGTAGTAGTAGTAGTAGTAGTAGTAGTAGTAGTAGTAGTAGTAGCAGTAGCAGTAATAGTAGTAGTAGTAGTAGTAGCAGTAGTAGTAGCAGTAGTAGTAGTAGTAGTAGTAGTAGTAGTAGTAGTAGTAGTAGTAGTAGTAATAGTAGTAATAGTAGTAGCAATAGTAGCAGTAGTAGCAGTAGTAGCAATAGTAGCAGTAGTAATAGTAGCAATAGTAGTAGTAGTAGTAGTAGTAGTAGCAGTAGTAGTAGCAGTAGTAGTAGTAGTAGCAGTAGTAGTAGTAGTAGCAATAGTAGCAGTAGTAGCAATAGTAGCAGTAGTAATAGTAGTAATAGTAGCAGTAGTAGTAGCAGTAGTAATAGTAGTAGTAGTAGTAGTAGTAATAGTAGTAATAGTAGCAGTAGTAGTAGTAGTAGTAGTAGTAGTAGTAGTAAAAAGTTGAGAATGACACAAATATTAATTTTCACAGTCTGCTGCCTCAGTTTTTATGATGGCAATTTGCATATACTCCAGAATGTTATGAAGAGTGATCAGATGAATTGTAATTAATTGCAAAGTCCCTCTTTGCCATGAAAATGAACTTAATCCCCAAAAAACATTTCCACTGCATTTCAGCCCTGCCACAAAAGGACCAGCTGACATCATGTCAGTGATTATCTCGTTAACACAGGTGAGAGTGTTGACGAGGACAAGGCTGGAGATCACTCTGTCATGCTGATTGAGTTAGAATAACAGACTGGAAGCTTTAAAAGGAGGGTGGTGCTTGAAATTATTGTTCTTCCTCTGTTAACCATGGTTACCTGCAAGGAAACACGTGCCGTCATCATTGCTTTGCACAAAAAGGGCTTCACAGGCAAGGATATTGCTGCTAGTAAGATTGCACCTAAATCAACCATTTATCGGATCATCAAGAACTTCAAGGAGAGGTTCAATTGTTGTGAAGAAGGCTTCAGAGTGCCCAAGAATGTCCAGCAAGTGCCAGGACCGTCTCCTAAAGTTGATTCAGCTGCGGGATCGGGGCACCACCAGTGCAGAGCTTGCTCAGGAATGGCAGCAGGCAGGTGTGAGTGCATCTGCACGCACAGTGAGGCGAAGACTTTTGGAGGATGGCTGTTTCTCTCCAGGAAAAACATCAGGGACAGACTGATATTCTGCAAAAGGCACAGGGATTGGACTGCTGAGGACTGGGGTAAAGTCATTTTCTCTGATGAATCCCCTTTCCGATTGTTTGGGGCATCCGGAAAAAAGCTTGTCCGGAGAAGACAAGGTGAGCGCTACCATCAGTCCTGTGTCATGCCAACAGTAAAGCATCCTGAGACCATTCATGTGTGGGGTTGCTTCTCAGCCAAGGGAGTGGGCTCACTCACAATTTTTCCTAAGAACACAGCCATGAATAAAGAATGGTACCAACACATCCTCCGAGAGCAACTTCTCC